ACACCACACACGCACAACAAACACACATAACATACAGAACACACACAACTCACATAACATAAAAGAGCAAGTTGAGAAACCACCACCGATCTCGGCTTAGGAAGTGGCACTGTGGGGGTCCCGTCATGTCGTGTGGTGCTCTGTTTCCATGTCCTCCAGGCCTGTGGGCACCAAGAATTTCCAATGACTCTGAGAGTCCTTGTGTACAATTTTTATTTGGGGTTTTTCTACTTTATTTTTAATTTTTGTTATTATAAACAATGTTCAAGCAAACATCTTTGTACTTAAAGAAGTTTTTGTTTTGTTTTGTTTTTAAATGTTTAGCCTTAAGCTCCTGGCTTCATTTGCTTATTGAATTTTGTTATTAGAAGGCAATATATATACAGATGGCAAATTGGACTGTCACACAGAGCCCTCCCCATAATTACTCTCCTCTCACCAACCCCTCAAAGGTCCCCCTCCTGCCTTTCCCCAGAGCAGCACCTCCTTTCTCTATCGCCTAAAAAGTGCCCTCATTCATACACCAGAGCCCTGTGGTAATGTTAGAAGTTGGGCTCCTAACCACAAGGTCACCGGTTCAAACCCACCAGTCATTCCTCAGGAGAAAGATGAGGCTCTCAGTTCTGTGGAAGAGTTTCGGCCTCAGAACCCTCAGGGGCAGTTCTACTCTGTCCACGGAGTTGCGAAGAGTCAGAATTGACCCAATGGCAGAAAGTTTAGGTTTTAGGTTTTGTTTTTTTAATAGATGGGTGGCTGGCTTCTCTTTCTAAGTTCCCCAGAGTGAGTCTCTCTGCATGCATTGATGCTGAGCTGGGACAAGGCAGACACTATCTCTGTCCTGACGAGCTGAGACCCAGGCTGAGCAGTAAACCCATCGGCCAGTGAAGAACCCGGGCCCAGCTCTGCAGGGTGAGATGGGGCGTCCTCTTCACGCCCTGTTCCCCAGCAGGCAAGTGACCGGATCTCCTGCTCACCCTTTCACAGAGAGCTTTGAGTGCTCCTCCCAAGAGGGGGTACCCCAAACACTCCCTGCCACCGAGTCGATGCGAACTCATGCTGACCCTGCAGGTCAGGATAGGACTGGCCCTGCGGGTTTCCGTGGCTGTAACTCTTTGTGGGAGTCGGGGGTGCCGGGGAAGGCATCACTGAGGGCTGATCCGCATGGGCAGTGTCCATGCGAGCTTTTCCGACACCTCCGTAGGCTGGAGATATTAGTGCTTTCCTCTCCATCTTGAACACCTGGACAGAATCTTCCAAGATCCACTTCCTGGCTCTCTTCCTCCTGGGATTGACACCATGCTGTATTTCTCCACACTCTTCTTCTACTTCTCCGTTTCCATTTTAAGAATCAAAATGTCCTTCTCCCTCCTTTCGGCTCCCCTCACCCCAAAGTAAGCTGGAGGTGGGGTGCACCTGCCCACTTAGGTGGCCCTTCTCACTGCTGGGGAGCCCGCTGGCGGCACGGGCTTCCTGCCAGCTCGTGTGCTTACAAAACCTACATGCACAACTGCCTACTGCACCTTCTCAACGTGCTGTTATCTCACAGGGTATACCCTTCTCCCCTCCTCCCTCTCTTCTCTCTCCTCTCTCTCTCTCTCTCTCTCTCTGCTGGTGCATTAGCTGTCTATCACTCTAGCTGCTATGTTAGCAAGGCTGTTCTGCAGTTGTTGTTGTTTTTATTATTAAGGGACAGTCAGCTTCGTTCTGCTTTTCCCGATCACCCACGACCATTTCCAGATTGTCACAGTGAGACACCAGACTCGGGCTCTGCTAGAAAGAAAAACAAAACCCTTTGTAGTGACGGGAATGAAAACCAGCTGATAAGACCAGGTTGCGTTCCCAGCCCGCTCCACGCTCGATGCCACAGTGCCTGGCTTCCCAGGCGCAGAAATAAAAGATTTGTGGGGAAACCGCAGGCTTAAACCTGCCCTCTGAGTCAGCACGCTTACTTGTGACAACCTCCAAGTGGTTACATCCTGAGTTGTTTAGCCAAACCTTCCGCGAGGGGGCTAATTTTCTGCTGCCCAGGAGTCAGGGTTCTAGTCTTAGGGAGGTTAATCTCTGCCTTCGGTATGAATTTACAGAGAGCCGCCACAAACCCAGGGAGAGAGCCCAGTGTATGAAAATTGGACCTCCGGGGGCAGGAGATTGGAAACAACTCTCTAATATCGATCTTGGTTACAGAACTACGGGGCTTCATTTTACCAGTGTGGATCCCAATCCTATATCCTAGGGTCCATGAGGAGCCCTGGTTACGCGCTGAGCTGGTAACCGGAAGGTCAGCATTTCGGCTCCACCAGCTGCTCCTCAGGAGAAAGGTGAGGCTTCCTATAAAGACATCCAGCCTTGGAACCCACAGGGCAGTTCTACTGGGTCCTAGAGAGATGGCTGTAGCGGTGTTACACACAATACATGGGGACGCAGGTAGCCCGTCACCAGTCATCCAATTCATGGAAGAGAGTGTTTGTTGAATCCCGGCATTCAAGGAAGACAAGGAGCTTCTTATCCAACAAAACCTGCCTCCTCCAGCAGCCGGTGAGGATGTTTGATAGGGAAGGAGAAGGGGGCTTTCAGGAAAGACTCAAAGCATCAAGGTTCATGAAGAAGCTGGCAGTCCTGGTGGAGGAGAGCGTCCACTTCTGTGGCCAGCCTGGACACCGGCCAGCGGATCCTCAGAGCATCCTCCTTCCTGAGAGTGGGCTTCCAGGGGAGATGGGTTCATGTGTCACTTCTGAAGGGAAACGGCCACGGCTGGCCGTTCCTCAGGAACTCCAGCCGAAGGACCAGACGGAAACGAGGCCGAGGGAAGTGCGTGGAGCCCCGGCGAGATGCTGAGCCTTGCCGGCCAGGTGTGGCATCCGCTGTCTGTCTAATAAGCCTGCGGTCTGAACCAGCTCTGCAGCTTCCTCTTGCCTTTCCAGATCACCGCAGCACATCCTCGGTCCTTCGCATCTCCATGACTTCTATGATGAACTTGGCTCCTTGGAGGGGAAGAAAACTGCTGCTAGAGCGTAGACTTTGAGAATGGACATCATTGCTGTACCGAATTTCCCCATCTCTGAAAGCAGTATGTCCGTCTCCTTGTTCATTTCAATCTGCTCTCATCTCCTTCCTGGAGGCCTGGTGGCATAATGGTTATGCGTCGGACTTCTAACTGCAAAGTCAGCAGTTCAAAGCCACCAAGCACTCCGCGGGAGAAAGACTAGCCTTTGTACTCCTGTAAAGAGTTACAGAGTGACCATGCATTCTCCCCGGACCCCCGGCTCCTCCTTTCCCCAGAGTGGCCCGGGGCAATCTGCCAGAAGGGTGTGTTGACCCAGAAAACCCCACAAAATCATGCAAATCGAGAGGGCCAAATCTTTGGGTCCATTTTACGAACACCCGTGAAACTGCCCAGGCCAGCAAGGCCATGCATATCCGGAAAGCCACCAGATATTTGAAAGACGCCACTCTGCAGAAGCAGTGTGTGCCCTTCCGAC